GGGCCGATCCAAGGGCTGCTGCAGAAGCAGATGCCTGCACTTTATCCTGGATTATAGACTATAGCACAAAGGAAGGAGAATATAATAAATACCATGTGGGTTCCTAATCAGGAAACTCCAAACTGGGCAACTCTTTAGGACAAAGAACCTAATACTGTGAGCTGGTAAATTGCAGAGAAAACGGGAGGAGGAGGCAGCAGAGAAATCTATAGATAAAGAGTCATAACTTTTTTACATATTACAATGTATGTATCATATTTCAATCATGGTTTTAAAGAATTACTGCAACATGGAACAAATTAGTACCTTGATTAGATGTGGTACTAAGAAATAATGTTTTGGGTTGTTTTTTTTAATAGGAAATAGTGGTAATGAAGTTTTGCCTATGAAAGATAATCCTCTGAATATATATAGTGAAATATTTATGAATCCTAGACCATGGTTCTCAACCTTCCTAATGCCGTGACCCTTTCATACAGTTCCTCATATTGTGGTGACCCCCCAACCATAAAATTATTTTCGTTGCTACTTCATCACTGTCATTTTGCTACTGTTATGAATTGGACCAACCCTGTGAAAGGGTCGCTCGGCCCCCAGGTTGAGAACCGCTGCTACAGGATGCCTGTGACTTGATTCAAAAAAATCTGGGGAGGAGACTAAGGGATGAGATAAATAAATAAAGGTATGGATGAAACAAGATTGTGCCTAAGATGGTAATTGTTAGTGCTGGGTGATGGGACATGCGGGCTTCATATACCATTTTCTGTCCCTCCTTCCAAGGGGCCTGGTGGCATAGTGGTTACCTATTGGGCTGCTAATCTCAAAACCACCAGCCGCTTCTTTGGAGAAAGATGAGGCTTTCTACTCCTGTAAAGAGTTCGTCTCGGAAACGCACGTGGGGCAGTTCTACACATTCTCTCGTAAGGTCACTAAGAGTAGGAGTCTACTTGATGGCAGTGAGTTTGGAGTTTGTATCCCTTTTCATATGTTGTAAATTGTTTATAGTTAGAATTTTAAAAGGAGTGTTTTTGATTTTTTTTTTCTTTGAAGGAGGTATAGATAACCAAGTTATTGAAGGGTCACTGGCCGTCAGCGACTCAGGAGATAAAACAGTACTGGGTGAGGCAAATGGTTAAACCCTGGTCTACGGACAGAAAGGTGAGCACTTTGAACCCAGTCCCAGGTACCTCCAAAGAAAGGCCTGGAGATCTGCTTCTGAAAGTCTGCGGCCTTGGAGCACCCCTGAAGGTGTGCAGGTCTCGTGGGACCGTCACAAATCTGAACTGACAGGGTGGTAGCTGCTGTTACTTCTTTTTCTTTCCTTTTCGAAGGACAGGAAAGGGAGATTCTCCTTCTACAAGCGTTTTAGCATCGTAGCAAGAGTAGCATGAGGGAAAGTGCCACCAGTTAGTAGATTACGGGCTAGCTCTCTAGCTATATAGCACTGTGCCATTGTCTCGACTTACTGCTTTAAGAGTTCCTGGTGGCAAGAACTCTTACCTTCTTAATCTCGGATTCCCCACAGTCTAGCCCAGCGTCTGGCTTAGCAGGCAATGGTGAGCCTGAGAACGACTGGAGGAATAAAGTGATCCAGCAAGCTGGCATGCAGTATTCTACCTAGCACTTTTTATTTTTCTTCATAGAGAAGTCTCTTATGGAAGACCACATCCAGTTTTATTAAATAGCCCTGGCACCTTTTAAGGAAACAGAACTTTCCAGGAAATAATTCTTTATTGTAGAACTGTTGATTGTTTTTGGTATTTTTTCCTACATTTTAAGGCTGATGAATGACTCAAAACTTTGTGTCCTGGAGTTGATTCTGACTCACACCAACCCTATAGGACAGGGCAGAATTGCCCCTGTGGATTTCTGAGTCTGTAAATCTTCATGGAAGTAAACAGCTTCATTTTTCTCCTCGGGAGCGGCTCATGATTTTGAACTGCCGACCCTGGCAGCCCAACCCTAACCCACTCCAACACCAGGGCTTCTATTGATGGATGTAGGAATGGGAACGTTCCGACAATGTAGGTACTTTAGAGAGATGTTGACTGCCCCTTGTGATGGCAGGTTTAGGAAATGATTCCTCAATA